CCCGATCACCCTCGAGCAAGTCGCAATTTCAATCGAGACATTACTTGACGCGAATGACCTAACAGTGGAAGAGGACTGAAAGTCTGCGTGACGTCGAGCAAATACCGCTTCAGTTGTCGACAAGGAGGGTCGTCTACTACTCATGGAGGAGGAATGGCTTGCACGCCTAAAGCTTCGCGACAACACCGGCGAGAGCAACGGTCTCTCCAACCGCAAAGGTGATGAGAAGCCATGGAAGTCTCATGGGCGCACGCGCGGGAAAGATGGTGATAGAAAAAAGGAGTCGACCTATGGCAGGTCGATCCAGTACTTGAACTATAGGAAGAGAGGTCACCTGAGCAAGAATTGCTGGAGCAAGCAAATGAATAAGGAGAAGGCCGAGAAGGCCCATGTGGCTCAACTGTGGGAAGAGAGGTCACCTGAGCAAGAATTGCTGTAGCAAGCAAATGAATAAGGAGAAGGTCGAGAAGGCCCATGTGGCTCAACTGTGGGAAGAGAGGTCACCTGAGCAAGAATTGCTGGAGCAAGCAAAAGAATAAGGAGAAGGCTGAGAAGGCCCATGTGGCTCAACTGTGGGAAAGGAGGTCACCTGAGCAGAATTGCTGGAGCAGGAAGGCCGAGAAGGCCCATGTGGCACAGGAATAAGGAGAAGGCCGAGAAGGCCCCATGTGGCTCAATCCGAGGAGGACGAGCCAGCTCTCTTCATGGTAAGTGCATCGGTTTAATCCAACGTCCCTAGTTTCGATTCCAATTCCACGGAGGTGGAGGTTATTGATGACGGCGTAACTGCTCCTCTAGTGAGCGTCGAACCCGAGCTTCAGCTGGGCGTAGCAAAGGCACCAGATGAGGAGCCAATTCAACTGAAGGAGGAGCAAGTGTTCGCTCAGATCGGCGAGAGGGACGAGCAGCATGAGCACCGACGATGGGTCCTCAACAGAGGGACAACAAACCATATGACCGGGGCTAGGTCTGCATTTTTTGAGCTCGACTCGGGAATTCGCGGGACGCGTGATGGTAAAATTCGGCGACGGCTTTGTCGTCGAAATTGAAGGGTGCGACACCATCCTATTCATCAGCAAGGGAGGTGATCACCGCAAGCTGATCGACGTCCACTTCATCCCGAGTCTCAAAGCTAACCTTGTGAGCATGGGTCAACTCGATGAGGCCGGCTACTTCATTTCCATCGAGCGCGGGCTACTCAAAATTTGCGATGATCGACAACGGTTGCTCACACAAGTTTAGTGCACGACAAACCGTCTTTACATCCTAGAGTTAGAGATAGAGCAACCCGTCAGCCTCTCGGCCAAGACCAAAGAGGTTTCTTGGAGGTGGCCTGCAAGTTACGAGCAGTTAAACTTTCCTGCTCGAGAAAAACTATAGAAGGAGAAGATGATGCACAGTTTGCCGGCAATCAAAGGTGTGAACAAGCTGTACATTGGTGCCTCATCGACAAATAGAGGCGCTCCCCATTTTCGTCTCGGACATCCTATCGCACCGATGAGCTGTTGGAGCTTGTACACGGCGATATCGTTGGGCCCATCAAGCTGGCAACCCTAGGCGGTAAGACCCTCTTCCTCCTATTGGTCGATGACAAAAGCCTCTTCATGTGACTGATCCTACTGCAAGCGAAAACTGAGGCGGTTAAGTGCATTCAAGCGCGAGCGGAGGCCGAATGTGGGAAGAAGATGCGAGTGCTACACACAGACCGAGGCAAAGAATGCACCTCAACAAGTTTCAGTAAGTACTGCGACGAGTTCGATATACAATGGCAACTAACGACGCCCTACTCCCCGAGTTGAACGGAGTGGTGGAACGCCAAAATCAAACCATCATTGGGACAGCAAGGTCTTTGCTGACGACGGTCGGGATGCCTGCGAGATTCTAGGGAGAGGTGGTAATGACGACCGTGTATCTCCTCAATCGGTTGCCAACCTGAAGTCTTGACGGGAAGACGCCATATGAGGCTTGGTACAACAAAAAGCCAGCGGTACATCATTTCCAAGTGTTTGGCTACGTCGCATACATGAGGTAGCGTGTCCCCACCTCGCCAAGCTTAATCTCAGGAGCAAGGCGTACAGACTCTATGATCCTACGGGGGGCGAGCTCACGTGTCTCGTGACGTCATCTTCGACGAGAGCACCTTCTGGTAGTGGAATGACGTGATCGAGGTAGACCATAATCAAAATCAATTCCTAGTGATGTACCTTGTCACCGAGCCAGAAGAAGGAAGAGCCCAGCATCAGAAGCCGTCACCGCCGCCAGCAGGTGCACCCCCTGAACCAATGGAGTTTGCAACACCACGGACTGCAGATTCGACGCTGGATACCAATCACGATGATGATCTGGTGGCCAGGTACCAGAGGATGGACGACCTAGTGGGAGGAGGTGAACCACCTGGACTAGCAGCGCGCGAGCTCGAAGAAGTGGCCGAACTGCATGCGATCAGCGCAGATGAACTGAACACCTTCGTAGAAACAGAAGAAAACCCATGTTGGCTGAATGCAATGCAGGAGGAGATGACATCCATCACCAAGAAGGGAGAAGTTGTGAAGCACAAGGCCTGTCTGGTGGCAAAGGGCTACGTCTAGAAGCAATGAGTGGATTTCGAAGAGGTATTTGCGCCGGTGGCAAGGTTAGAATCCTTCTGCCTGTTGGTGGAAATCGCGGCACATTACTCTTTGGAGGTCCACCACATGGATGTGAAGTCCGCCTTCCTTAATGGAGAGCTGAAAGAGACCGTCTACGTCCGACAACCACCTACCTGCACAAGGCACTCTACGGGCTTCGGCAAGCACCACGAGCCTAGAACGCGAAGCTCGACAGTACCCTACTGTCACTGAAGTTCAAGCGCTGTGTCTTTGAGCATGACATGTACACGCACGGCCACAGTGAGCAGCAGCTGATTGTGGGAGTGTACGTCGACGACCTCATAATCACTGGAGGGGACATGGAAGTCCTCGAAAGGTTCAAGAGGGAGATATCAAAGAACTTTAAGATGAGCGATCTCGGCGTACTCAGCTACTACCTTGGTATCGAAGTGCAACAGAGTACTACCGGCATCACCATCTCCCAAAGTGCGTACACGAAGAAGCTATTGGACACAACTGGGCTTGCGGACAGTAACCCTACAAGGACGCCGATGGAGGCCCAGCTCCAACTAAGGAGGATCGGCACTACGACGACAATCGACCTTACAATTACCGCAACATTGTCGGGAGCTTGCGCTATCTGGTAAACACACGCCCTGACCTTGCTTACTCAGTTAGATATGTGAGTAGATTTATGGAAGCACATCGGGAGGAGCATCTTGTGGGTGTCAAGCGCATCCTGCGCTATGTGGCTGGAACCAGTGGCTGGGGTGTGAGATACAGCGCAGGGAAAGGAAAGATGAAGCTTGAGCTGGTCTGCTACAGTGATAGTGACATGGCTGGTGACGTTGATGATTGTAAGAGCACCAGTGGGATGATCTACTTCCTCTCAGGCGGCGCGATCTGTTGGCAATCAACAAAACAAAAGGTAGTTGCTTTGTCTTCCTTCGAAGCAGAATACATCGCCGCTTTGACGGCGGCAACACAGGGGGTCTGGCTTGCGCGACTGATGGAAGAACTCATCGGGAGAGAAAGCAATCCACCAATGTCATACGTGGACAACAAAGCTACGATTTCCCTTATTAAAAATCCAGTTTTGCACGACTGGAGCAAGCACATAGAAATTAGATTCCACTACATCCGAGAATGTGCAGATCGAGGACTCATCAAGATTGATTTCATCCGAACAGAAGAACAACTTGGAGACATTTTCATCAAATTCCTGGCGCGGGTAAAATTTGAAGAACTACGCTAAAAGATTGGAGTTCAAATAATAAGGTAGATATAGCACAGCTTTTAGGAGGAGATTGTTAGATAAAAGCTGTGGTGTCCTTAGATTTAGTTAAGTTGTTTTTTACTTTTGAAATTTCTGAATTCACGCTCACCGTTGAATGGAAGAGCGTAATTTTTGCTGGCGATTTTGGCCAACTTTGGGCGCAAGTTTTTGCCCACTATTTTCTATTTTTATGATTAAGTTTGTTATTTAAAGAATTCAACTGAATGAGAAATAACCATCGAGTCTTCAGCAAATCTCTCCCTCTCTGCTTTTACTTTTCGCTATTTTTCTTCGGCAGTTTATTTTTCGTCAATGTTTTTGCTAGAAGTCAACAGGGGTTTCTAATCAGTTCCCACTGCTCCTCAGCCATTTCGCATGGGAAATGTGTTCCCACTTCATATAGCACCTCATAGAGAGACATCGGTCATTACAGCTCGACATAAGGAACTCTTAGGGACTAAATAAAAAGACATTGAACTAGGGAAGCTCCAATGGGCAAGTTCCAAGGGGCAAGCTTCAAGAGACTAAGACAAGACCCAGATGTCCTAGAGCCAATTAGAAGCCCGTGGGAATCTGTTAAGCTTAGGATGCGATAAAAGCCTACAAGTAGGTGGCTTGCTGAGTATAATTTTTATAATCATCCCTTCTATGTTTCCCTTTTTCAGTTCTTGAGGCTTCGAGTCAAGAGAGGGTGTGATCAGAGATGTGGATTGTCACATAGGAATGCCTGTCCCATGTCCCAGAGATTTAGTCTTTTAATAGAAATTACAAAAATGTTATGAAAGTAATCGCCATGCATGACCCTCGAAAAAGGTTATGGAAGTAATCACCATGCAAGACCTTCAAAGGTGGGCTTGAGAATTTATTAAAAGAAACTAACATCCACCGTAAAGTTCAACAATTCATCTATTTAATCTCTCTTGGCTGAACTTTTTTTTATTATTGTTGATTTTATCATTGTTTTATACTTTTTTAACAACAATGACATTCTGCATAATTTTTTTTAATTAGTTTAAAATCACCAACACCTAGTTGAATGATACCAAAAGAATACTTTTGCAGCGTGAATAATTGATTCTTGGAATACTCTATTAGAGAAATTTTTTATCTAGTATTTTCACCTACTAGAAATGCACGGTTCAGAAATGAGATTGTTGCTTTTCATAAATTTGAAGATGAAACACTAAGAGAAGCTTGAGAGAGATTCAAGGAGAGGCTTAGAAAGTGTCCTCACCATGTACTACCTCATTGTATCAAAATTGAGACTTTTTACAGTGAATTGAATATTACTACTAAACAAATAGTGGATGCTTCGCCAATGGAACTTTTTTATCACAGTCATATAATAAAATATATGAGATTCGAGAGAGAATAATATCTAACAATTGTCAATGGGATGATGTGAGAAGCAATCCAATAAAGAAGGTTCAGGAGTACTTGAAGTTGATGCAAAACTGGGAAAAATAAATTTGAAGAAAGTGGACTGAATTCTGACCTAAAACCTAAAGGATTATTCCACAAGTTGATCCAACCGTCTTGATTGGCCTAAGAACATTTTTTGAACAATTTATAACATGTGACGACTCGATTCTAATACATGTCCTATAGCCTCACAACTCATCCCACTCCTGCTTTGACCACACAACATCAAGCTCCTCTTGAATAAAATAAGAGAACTGCAATGATTATATAAATACTCAGTAAGTAACCTACTTTAGGCTTTTTATCATGTCTAAATACTTTCATAGGAAAGTATCTTGTCAATCTAGGACTAAGTTATCATGTTCTATTATATAGGCTATCTAAAGACAACTTTTAGGTGTTTATAGCTTAATCAAGCTCAACTTAGAGTTCTAACATTACTCAATCTCATTACTTGGCCATATTGAGACCCTTTCGTGTCATCAGATCTATCTAGACCTTTCATTCTTATATCTCGCGAGCCCTAACCTTATTGGGCTTGGTTTGGATCATCAATTCATGCCTCTCACTTCTTAAAAGTGTAACATAACTCATTGAGGCTATCTAACTAGTTAATTACTATTTCTTGTAGTCAATATAGTTCTAGCTGCAGACTGGTGTTTGAGATGTGCTCTCGTCAACATAGGATTCACGATTCCTATAACTAGTATGGAATATGTCTATTGTGTTAGATCTACTATTAGCAGCCAATTGCGGTCTCTCTAATATTCTCCTCCATGATCACTATCAAACGCTAGTCGATGCTCTCTCAACGGTACCAAACAAATCTCAATATAGTTGCAATTTGTGCTTCCCAAATAATGCTAGATAGGTTTGCCATTAAGTGCAACTAAAGCTCCCTTATAGTTTACCCCTAGTACCCTCAAGGTAATAATAGTCATTTTATGGTGCCCAAGGTTTAATCACAGGGTACAAACTCCTCATCTACCAACTTGTGTCATTATGGTATGATGTAAGCCCTTACCTGTCTAGATTAATGCTATTAGACACTAACTTAAGCTTCTTTAATAATGACTTACATTGTATAATAGGTAATAGATAGGTAACCCCGCATGTTTTTGTACTAGGCAGACCCCTAACAATCAAGGTGAATTCAGGACTATGGGTTGCACCCGACGTCTCCAAATAATGTATAAATCATCTAAAGTCTCATGATACTTGTTGTGGGTCATAATCAGGGATTAGGAATCTGCATAGCTTAACTATCTAACATGCTTGTCGTACATCTAGAACATACATGGTAACTAGTAATATCATTAGGGGGCATACATGTAGATTTAATCGTCCAAACATGTTTGCAAACTGTCATATTAGATGTCATCATCTAAATCAATCATAGGGTTTTATAAGGGTACCTAGTTACGCTTAATCCAATTCACTATCAAATTTTCTATTTCATCATAGTTTACCTTAGTATAATTGCATCTAATCAGGGTCCCAAACTATTCACAAGGATCTTCAAAGTTCAACCTCAATATATTCATACATAATCAAGTCCTAGTTAGCTATGTCATAGCATCGATGACCCATAAGAACATACTTATGCTCAATCAAGCCTAATTACATCCTATCAAATCATTAGGGTCGAAATTCCTAAAATTATTATTTGGTGTGGCCCACGATCAAGATATGCCAAAACAAACAATTTAAGTAGAAAGAAAAACTTGAGGGAAGAGATCTTTTGAATAAAATAACCTTAAGCAATTATGCTTTTCCACTCTCTTTGTTGTTGTGAAAAGAGCATACATTTAATGAGAGTATTTATAGGAGAGAAAACACTAACTAGTTTTTTAAACTTTCTACTCAAGTTAAAAACCACTAACAATCTTCTTGATTAAGGCACTAAAATTGGTTCACAATTTGTCAACTACTAACAATTCTCACATTCTCCTAATGTTGCTCCATAAGTTACTAACTTATTCTACTAACTCCACTAACAATTCTCGTGAAGTTTACCTTTAAGTTAATAACTTATTCTACTAAGTCAAGTTTATTGGTTCACAATCTTCCGAGTAAACTTGACTTTGTTCAAGATTCTTCAGTCTCAGAAACTCCTCCATCTCTACAAACTTAACCCTTGTTAAGGCCTTGGTTAGAATATCTGCATGTTGCTCTCTAGTGCATATGAACTCCATAAAGATTTGTCTCTTCTTGACACACTCATGGATGAAGTGGAAGCGTGTCAATGTGATTGCTACGTCTGTGAAATACTGAATTCTTCATTAATGTAATACAAGATTTGTTTGTCGACGTAGAGTGTTATAGATTTTAGTTCACTTCTAGTCACTTCGCTCAACAAATTTCTCAGCCATAGTGTTTAGCACGATGCCACAGTAGCTTCCATGAACTCGACCTCACAAGAAGATGGTGGCACAGTTCATTGTTTTTGAAATTGTCAAGAAATCAAATTTTCGTTGAGATAAAACGTCATTCATGCGGTGCTTTTTCTATCGTCAATGTCTCTAGCTAAATAACTATTGGTAAAATCGATTAGTTATTCACGAACTTAATAGCTACTCGTGCTACTCACCATTCAGACAACATATGAAAGGTCTGGATGAGTATGAGTCAAGTACCTTAGACTTCTGATGATGTGCCTATACTCAGTGGAATTCACCAAGCTTCCTTCAAGCAGCTTTCTCAAGTTGTAACTTTGCTTCCATGAGCTACTTGGTTAGGTTTCACTTTGTCATCTTAAATTGCTGCAATAACTTTTTAGCATAAGTCGATTGCTTTAGCATCATGCAATTTTTTTTTTTTTTTTGTCCACTTCAATATCAAGGTAGTACATGAGTAACCTGAGATCAGTTAGCTCAAATTTTTTATCATCATTTGCTACTTGACTCCTTCCACACTTGTACCAATGACAATTGGGTCATCAAGGTACACACCAACTATGAGTGTTTCAGCTCTATTATTTCTTGTATACACTGCTTGTTCTTACGAGCACTTCATGAAGTTTAGATTCTTCAATCTCTTGTCCAGACATATGTTCTACGTTTTCAGTGCTTGCCGTAAACTGTAGATGGCCTTTGACTATTTGTACACTTAGTGCTCTTCAGTTTTGATGACAAATGCTTCAAGTTGAGCAACATAGGTCACCATTTAGGAATGCTACTTTGACGTCCAAGTGATGTACCTCCCACTCGTGTTGAGCTACGTGGGAAAGAATCAACCTTACAATGACCAGTCTAGCCACATGTGCGAAAACCTCCTTAAAATCAATTCCTTGTCGTTGCACATATCCCTTCATCACAAGTCTTGCTTTATGCTTGATGACATTTCCTTCATTATTCTTCTTCAACTTAAACACCCAATTCAGATCGATGAGCTTGTGTCCAGGCGGTAAGTTAGCCAGTGCCCACGTTTTGTTCTTCTTAATGGTTTCAAACTCTTTTTGCATGGCCTCTTGCCACATCGTCTCAGTTGTTGCCTCACGGTAAGTTGTTGGTTCTTCGACGACAACAACACTAACTCATTGGGATCCAATTCTTCTTCAAGCGTATCCACATAAATTTAAGCAAGAGAATGAACTTCTTTGGTCTACCCTCTGTTGTAGATCCTCTTGTGCTCTCGCTTGAGCTCTATTGTTCTAGAGAATTCATCACGTCTTTCGGTGTCATTAGTGATGACATGTGTGGAATTTTTAGTGTCGCTATTGGTACACTTTCTAGGTCTATTGCGTCCCCCTCTTCTTCTAGGGTAGTGAACTCTATAAGTCAGCTTGTTATTGCCAATGCTGCACGAATCTCACTTCTTCTCTTCTTCGAATACAACATCTCTACTTTTATGAATTTTCTCATGTTGTGGATCATAAAACCTGTGTGCCTTGGTTTCATCCTCTACGCTAGAGTACACCATCTTTTGGCTTTTTGTCATCAAGCTTTTTGATATATGACTTTGCAGTTTTAACATGTGTTCTACAACTAATAACTCTTAGGTGTGGTGTCTTGCGGAACTATGCTTTGTAGGGGTTGCAGGTGTCCAACTCCTTTATCAGTAAACAGTTTAGATGATAAATCGCATGCCGTATTACCTCCCAAAAAATCGCCAAAACTTGCATGCTCTTGAGTATCTTGCAATGTTCATTATGGTGCAATTTCTTCGTTTGACCACACTGTTTTGTTGAGTGTTCAGTCTAGTGAGTTGACGCTTGATACCTTCCTATACACAAAACTTTGAGAAGTTCTGGGATAAGAAATCGCCACCTTGGTTGGTGCGCAAGGTTTTTAGCTTGTGATCAGATCGATTTTCAATGAATCTTTTGAACAATGCGTCTCCTTTTTCTTCGAGCATGTAAACCCTCATCCAACGACTATATTCATCAAGTAAGAGAAAATACTTGTTACTAACAATTGATGATGAGGTTTGATACCTTCCTCTATGCAAGAATTTAAGAAGTTATGGGATAAGAACTCGCCACCTCGGTTGTTACACAAGGTTTTTAACTTGTGATCATACTCGTTTTCAATGAATCTTTTGAACTTCTTGAAGGCACATAATACATCTCCTTTTTCTCTTAGCATGTACGCCCACATCCAACGATTATAATCATAAACAAGTAAAAGAAAATACTTGTTACCAACAATTGATAATGGGGTGATCGGGCCAACAAATCTGCATGAACTAGTTGTAGTGGTTGATCAGCACGGAAACCGATTTTCGTTGGAAACGATAGTCTTGCTTATTTGGAGACTAGACAACTTTCACATTGGTAGTTCAGGTGTAAGATTTTTGGCAGTCCTTGTTAGATAAAAGCC